CTCTCTCTTACTCAGAGTATTCAGTGACCCTAGGAGACACTCGACCTTCTCTTGACTTGGGCCTGAACCTTTGCCAAATTTCAATCTTCTCTGTCCGATTTCCTCTGCTGAAACCTCTTTAGTTCTCATGACCACCAGTTTTTTTCTCCCACGTCAGTACCATGCTGATAATTGGCAACCAGTTAGTCCCATCACAATAGCTGTCAGGTATAGGAGGGATCAGAACAGTCTCATACGTTACTGGCATTACACCCCATTCCACCCTCTTCTTCTGCTTGATTAGGTCTGCTTTCTCATTATAAAGAGATTGGATCTCAATTCCCCATAGCAAGTTAAAGGTCTCACCTTTGTCACAGTCCCCCTTCTTGACATAAGGACGGATATCATAGATATCTCCCTCCAAGAAGCGAGCCATCACTACGTTGATGGCCGAATTGCCAGAACGGTAGACCCAACAATGCTCATATTGATAGGGGAATATCCCTTTGGTAGTCATTTTCAAGAGCTTTTTCAATGCGTCAGAAGTTAGCATTCTTGATGAAGTCTTTGAGCTCTTGATTCTTTCTTTCCCTTCTCAATGTTCCAAGGACATCATAGGCTCGTCAGGCATACCTGAGATCAAACCCGATTCTCTCCAATCAGTAATATCAGTCTCCTTCTTCAGTCCAGTGTGGTACCTCACACAAGGAAAGATAAGACTCGGTTAGCAACTAGGCTTTCTCAAGAGAGTAATGACTCAAGAAAGGATTGCAAAATGAGCTTTCCTCATTATAACTCTTCTTCTCCCCTCTGCTGTGTCATCCAACTGCCACTGCAACTCATCCTGAAGTTCTTCTGCTTGGAGGATCTCATAATCCTCCCGCGTGAGTTGAGCCTGCTGGCTGACTTGCAAGCCAGCACTCTGGCTAATGGAAACCCGAGAACCACTCTGACTAACTCCTGACGAAGTGGCCTGTGAAGAGGCCTGCGACATGGTAGAGGAAGTAGCCATGGTCGTACCGGTGCTAGCTGAAATCCTAGACCTGGCACTGTCCTCAGCCACCCTCGCTCTTCTTGTCGATGTTCTCTCTCTAGCCTCTCTCCGCAGTCTCCTCTCGTCTCCTGGACCTAACTCTAGGAAAGTCAAAGATCGACTGAGACAGTACTACGAGTAGTCCTGCGGTCATCCACTAACAACTCCTCCTCACTAGTGCTTGCATCACTCATGAGCTACAGTGTGTGTGATCTAAACTAGAATTCACATTGAATCCTACCTCATCATGACACACAACTGATTATGATACACAACTAACTTCGGTCGGCCTGGACAAAAACATTTAGGTGGTTAGGTGTCACCCAGTGTCAGATCCTACAGGGAATATTAGGTCTATTTTTATATTACTCTAATATAGATTGCAATGCAACAAATAATATTATACTCTATGAATATTTTACTCTATCTGCAGTTCTCTGTCAGTTGTCAATCAAGTATGTAACAACTAAGTAATCAAAAATAAAAATAATGCTCCCTGCAGAGATGTATGCTGAATGACTATTTATCTAATTAATCCCACGGCGAACAGTTGTCGGAATCTATCCCTTTCCATGTATCCCTCTTGAGTAGTCACTTTGTGTCGACGTTCCTAGGCATCTAGTTGAGCAGCGTGTCTAAAGGTGTGCAATGCGGCCCACCCCTGTGCCCTAAGTCAACGCCGAAATTGCCAGCCCCTGCACATTATTTATCCTCGCGTGCAACGAGCCTTACACCCGGTTTGATCTGGCTGATCAGGAGGCATTTAAGGAGATCCCCCGTAACTCCTCAGAAATTATTTAACGTCGCAAACAGGACGACGATCACAGTCAGGATCAACACCGAGTCCCCCCCATAAATATTTAGAGACGGTCTAATACGCGTCTGTTCAAAGGGCTGGCATGCCCTGCATGACCGCTATTGCGCAGTAGCAGAACCAAGGACTTGCGGCAAAGCATGCGTGCACTAGTCCCAGCGGGTTGCCATGGTGACCGTGACCCGAGTGCTTCGTCTAGGGCCCTTCAGAGGCAACGCCCGTCTCCCACCAGCTTGCTGCCCAAGAAGGATGTCGACTCTCAAGGTTGAGCGCTCGCAACACCTCACATTGAGAGGACTCTCAAGACATAACTCACTTCCTCACGGTAAGAAGCAATGAAGAGGGTAGATAAGGAAGGAAGCAACGTATCTCACTGGCAACCTGATGTGCATTTATGATGACCAGTCTTTGCCTTGGCACAACCAACAGCAGAATGCAGTTCTACCTCGGCTTAAATGCCACATTAACGAGCTCTCATCATCCAGCGTACACCCCTAATGTCACCACATAGCTCCCTGGCGCGCCCACACGACCCTGGGCCGCCTTATGTCCCACGCCCCAGCCTTATCACTGCCTCACACCTCATGCGAAGCACCGAACAGCTATTGCGAAGAACCAATGAACACAGTTCGAACCAGCTCTGATACCAAATTGCAAGGAAAATGAACATAAGCGAGATGACAATATTCAGATTGCACAATCACATTGAAAGCCAAATCGTAACACTGTGTTCAGAAAGCAGCATTGCACCAATATAACACCAATGGAGAATCGTAGCAGTGAAAGTCAATGTCAATGAGAGCTTGCTCTCGCCACCACCAACATATGTATCCAGTCTCTATYTCCCTACYTSGCGCTCGGYGCCCAGCCTACTCCCTAYACAGCTACTACTAGCCTACTAATTGACAATGCAACTGTTGACGTCAGCAGCACCCGAAGTACTTGAAGATGTCGCCCATGCAGAACCATCGCCAATACCAGGTATGTGCCCTCACATCATCATCATCATCATCCTTCTCTTTCTCCCTTGACTCTCTCCCACGTCTTCCTTTGTTGTACACCCGAAGACAACCCCTGCGCCTCACTGTACATCCAAGCCCTGCCAGCTATGGAGACTGGGCTATGGCGCTGCCCTCAGCAGCACTCTGCTCCCTGCACGACCGCACGTGCCTGGACATCGCCGCTCAGTGCTAGCAGCAGCCCACGAGCTTCAGCTCCAGCAGCGCTGCCGCCAGCATGCGAGTGCCCGAATGCCTGGCCAGGCAGCGAGCTCTTTCCTATATGGAAAGAGCCTGCCTCATTCGGCAGCCTGGTTGGACTGGCCTGGGCCCAAAAGCTTCCGGAAGGCCCCAGGATGCTGCGCCTCTGGTGCAGCTGCTGGGCCTCGTTCGGTTGGGCCTCCCAACTGTCTGTGTATGAGGCTGCGAATCTCGCCCAGGGCCTGTGCTTTCGAAAAGGCCTAGAAGGCCTCGGAATTTCCACGCTGCTCGGCCTGTGTTTCGCTTCAACCAACTGGCGCGACGAAACTGCCTGGACCCCAAATGCGAAATTGACAGCCAAGGGCCTCTCATGATTTGTTAGGCCCGCCTTCACTTAGGGCGGGCACATTTGCTGCAAGGGGGCCCCTTAGGCCTGCCGAGGACCCATATCCTTGCACTATGGCAAGAAACAAGAAATAAAAATTAATTTAATTTCAATGGGAACATTATCTATATTTCTCTATATCTAATTCTGCTGATTATTCTTCTGATGATGTTTTCTCTAGAGTCTGTGCACAGGTTCCGCAGCCACAACCAGTGTGATCAAGACGACAACACAATGGCGAGTTTGCAACATCCACAAAGACAGCCCACGACAAGTAAGTATCAACAACAGTGTTACATGCCCAGTTGGGCGATGTACATATATAACCAAGGATCCGCAATGTGATAAAAAGGACTGAATGGGCAATGCAGTGCAAGTAGAATCTCAACAAGTAGTGCGCATTCCGATACATACAAGAGTGGTGCTTTATAGCGCAGCGGAAGACTTAGATACAAGTCCTGACCTGACCGGGACTGACCTCTCTCACGCAGTGCAAGACAACGCAGCAGAATGCTAGGAAACCAATGACTAGCCCAATCAATGTCGCATTACAGACCAAACATACATCATCCACATCACGAGGTGTGAAGGGGCCTGGCGATACGCACAGGAAGAGTGCGCCAGGTCCAGATCATACACAGACGAAGAGGAGCGGATCAGACGAAGAGGAAGGGGGAGATGGGAATGTCGTCAACACCAAGTATTCGTTACAAGTCCCAAATAGTCCCTCGTCAAAATGTCTGAAGCCCAATATCGTCCCAAATAGTCCCTCGTCAAAATGTCTGAAGCCCAATGTCGAGTCTGGATCCAAGGTCACCAAGCTCTCTCTCTCTCTCTCTCTCTCTCTCTCTCTCTCTCTCTCTCTCTCTATCTCTCTCTCACTCTCTCTCTCTCTCTCTCGTAGACTGCTGATGCAGTGAAGTCAGATAGCGAGAGGGTGAGAGGGAGATGGTGGACTGAGAGGAGGAAGAAGAAGAACTCTCTCTCTTTCTCTCACGTGCCAGGTACTAACCCTGTGAAGTTGGCGCTGTGCTGCAGGTATCTCGAAGACGAAGCTGGAGCTATGGCGCTGCAGGACAATCTCTCTCTCCCTCCAGTACTACTTTAGCTGCTACAAGCGCCCAGCGCTGAAAACTACTGCTAGCGCTACCACTACTCCTGCAGCGCTCCTCCAGCGTGCTGCTGCTGAATCCTGAAGACTACCTCCTGCCTCTTGAACTGCACGTGAAATGCCTGGGAAGTCCCTATGAACTACCTGCAGCCTGCAGGGCGGGCCAGTCTTATATAGTGCTGGCCCATCCAGGAGGCTGCTCTTGCCAATGCCAAAACGTGCCAGACCCTGGGGTTGAAGCTCAAACAACGGTTGTCTTGAAAATCGGCCAAAAATGGCCTGAGCTAAAACCCTGGTCTGGTGCCTGAGTTTCAGAGCAGGTCGATCTTATGACGGCCTGAAAATGGCCCTCAATATCAGGCTGAAAAGACTCAGGGCCGGAAAGGCCCAGATTTAGGCTGACGACACAGGGCCTGTACGCCCTTGTTTTCAGGCTTTCAGGCTGAAACGACACAGGGCCTGTAGGCCCTTGTTTTCAGGCTTTCGGGCTGAAAACGACACGGGCCGGAAAATGGCCCGTGCAGCTTGTTGCAGGCGCAGCATGTAACCCCCCCCCCTCCTTATGAAGTCAAGCCGGGTCGAGGGTGAAGCTGACGATCTGAAGGTGGAACCTGGACGCGGGTGCGACGTGGAGCCGAAGATACCGGCTTGCCTTGCATCTTGTGTTCGTAGCGTGTGAGAACATCTGGAGCTGTTGCTTGCAGTTCCGCACGGGTCAACCAACGTTCAACTTTGTGGGTGCAGTACGCAAAGTGTACCAAGTACTCAGTTGGCCTCTCGCCACCAACTTTGGCCTGTTGATCACCCACCTCCTCACCGTCCGCATCTGGGCGGAGTTTAACTCTCATCCCTTCTGCTATTTTTTCTCCTTTCTGTTCAGGTATCTGCTGCTGCACATCGTCCTTCCTCTTCTCTACTTTATCACGGTTTCCAAGATCATGCCTGACCCCATTGCGATCTGACAAACTTGCATTTTTTCCAAGCTCTTGCATCCGACGAATGAAGAGAAGATGGTCGTCGCTCTCGGCCGCCCGTGGAATGATTGTGTCCAACGGAAAAGTGACCGGCGAGCCGTGCTCGAACTCGAAGAGCGACATCCCGATAGTCGGGTGGAAGGACAAGTTGTATGCCAACTCGACATCTGGCAGCCACTCAACCCAATCCTTATGGTCGGGACGGATGAGGGTGCGAAGGAGAACCTGTGCGGTCTGATGCGCCCTCTCCGTTTGGCCATCGGTTTGGGCGTGGCGAGCCGAACTTGGGTTGAGAGATGAGCCCCATCGTTTGATGAGCGCCAACCAAAAATCGGACATGAGCCGAGTGTTGCGGTCGCAGACGATTTCCTTACGGTAACCTTTGGTTCGAATCCAACCGACGTAAAGAACCTCGGCCAACTCCGGTGCCTTGGCATGATAGCGGCAAGGCAAAAACATGGCGAACTTGGTGAGTCGGTCGACCACCGTGAGAATCCCATCCACACCAGTCTTGTGCTTGGGGAACGGCCAGGTAATGTCCATGGCAATCGCTTCCCTTCGGCGCAAGGGGACTGGTAATGATCGCAACTCGCCGTACGGACGATGATTGCGGGATTTGCAACGTCGGAAAACCTCGCATGACTCACAATAGTGTGTGACGTCGTCAAGAAGACCGGGCCACCAAAAGCGCTCGCGGACTCGGCCAATCATACGATTGACTCCAAAGTGTCCAGTGGCGGGAGCGTTGTGGAACTCGCCAAGAAGTCGTGTACGCAAGTGAGAGTCACTCGGTACGCAAAGAAGGTCCTTCCCCCGCGTGTGGACAAGCAAGTACCCCTCTTGGATCCGGTAGTGAGAAGGCGCCGGATTAGGAGAGGAGCAATTTGCGTACTTGTTGTGAAACTCGGGGTCGGCTTGGTAGCCGCGGATGAAGCTGTTCCGCAGGTGATCGCCGATCTCGAAGGTCGAATAGACTGCGATACAGTGATCCGGACGCTGCGAAAGAGCATCCGCAAAGCGATTTGACGTGCCTGAAATGTGGTCGGGGAAAAAGTCAAACTGGTCGATGAAGGCCATCCAACGGGCGATCCGGACGCTGCGAAAGTGCCTCTCGAATTAGTGTCCGCCGTGCACTCGATTGACCATGTCTTGGGTCTTGTAGAAGACCAATGGGTTGTTATCCCCTACCCATCGGAACTACCGTCAACCAAGAAGAAAATGCCACCAGCGCTTGAGCGCGTGTATGAAGGCCAATAATTCCTTCTTCCGTGCATCGTCAATCGAGTGCACGGCGGACATTTTCTTGCTAAAGTACTCGATCGGGTGCCAGTCCACGCCATCATGTTGCTCGGGGACGGCACCAATGCCATAGCCAGACGCATTGGTAGTAACACGTGTCGCCAGAAGCGGATCATAGATGTGCAACACCTCCGCGGATAGTAATGCGGCTTTAAGAGCCAAAAAGGACGTCCATGCATTGTCGTCGAAGTCGAATGGCCGGTCCTCGCCTTGAAGCTTGGATAAAGGAGCCGCGATCTTCGAGTATCCCTTGATGAAGCGTTGATAGTAGCCGGCTAAGCCAAGGAACGAACGGACATTTGTGACGTTCTTCGGCTCCGGCCACTCTTGGATGGCTTGAATCTTGTCCGACAACGGGCTGATGCCCTCCGGTGTGACAAAATAGCCCAAGTATTCCAGCTCTTGCCCGACAAAATCGCACTTGTTGCGGTTGGCTTTGTACTTGGCGCGGCGGAGCGTCTCCAACACTCGTCGAAGGTGCTCAAGATGATCCTCCAATGTCCGATTATAGACGAGAATGTCGTCTAAGAATACTAGTACGAACCGGTCCAACATCGCACGAAACTCGTTAGTCATTGCCGCTTGAAAAGTCGCTGGGGCATTGGTGAGGCCAAAAGGCATAACGATCCACTCAAAATGCCCGTACTGTGTCTTGAACGCGGATTTGTAGCAATCTTGCGGGTGTATCGAGATTTGGTGATAGCCCGACTTCAAGTCCAACTTTGAGAAGAATTTTGCGCCGCCCAAACGCTCGAGAAGGTCGTTAATCCGCGGAAGAGGTCCCACATTCTTGAGGGTTTGTGCGTTGAGCTTGCGGTAATCAATGCACAAGCGAAGATCCTTGTTCTTCTTCGGTACAAAGAGAACAGGCGCACCGTATGGTGAGCTACTAGGGCGGATCCAGCCCTTGTCCAACAGATCATCGAGTTGCGCGCGGAGAACCGCGAGCTCTTCCTCGCTCATGCGATAGATGCATCCTTTTGGCGGCACGACACCTGCCTCAAGAATGATCTCGTGGGAGATCGGTTGATCCGACACCACACCAGTAGGAGACTCGAAGATGTCGGTGAAATCGTCGAGCAGCCGCACCACTCGGGGGTCCGAAGACAAATCCGTAGGTGAAGATTCGGTCATCGCGGCAGCTCGTAGAAAACATAGGCCTATCTCGTCGGTCTGCTCGTAAGCGCAAGTGGCCCGAAAAGACTTGGACGTTACAACTTGGCACCGGATCGAGGGATGCGGCAAAGGAATGGCACACGACACCTCGGCGCCGAAGGCGTTGCGAACGGTAAGTGTCCGTCGATGGAAGTTAACTGTGTGATCCGCACTTGCAAGCCAAGGCATTCCCAAAATGATGTCGAAGTCCGTGTCCAAGACGTCAAACGTCACCGGTTCGCGTGCATGAGGTGCGAAATAAACCGGGACAACTTCAATGTAGTGATTGAGGAATTGTTGCGTCCGACCGTCCGCCAACTTGATCGTCGTCGGGTTTCGCTTCCTTCGAACTTGTGCGCCAAGGCCGGCCCTTTGGATGAAGGACTGGCTAATGAAATTGCGAGTTGCGCTGCTATCCAGCAAAGTGCCACATGACGCTTGCCCAACTTGGATGCAGACATAAAGGAGCGGTGCGTTGTTATCATCGTACCGCTGCGTGCGAAACTCGCGGGCCACCTTGCTAACATATGCAAGGATGTCCCCCACTGCAGCTTCATCATCTGTCGGCGAAGGTGGTGGTGCATAGAAGGCTAAGTATGTGTGGTGATGGGCGCATAGTGCTGTGCATTGTGGTCCCGACAAGCAGCCTGTGGAAGGGAGAGGAAGCCATGCAAAATCGTTGGACGTCAACGACTCCTGGACCTCTATGTTGAACTCGTGCGTCGAATCCCTTGAAGAACCACTTGAAGACGATTCATTGTCGCTGTTGTCGAACGGAGAAGAAGCAGCACACACATCTTGTCCTTGAGCTTGAGAACCCAGCGAAGGAACGAGCCGGGCAGCATAAGGGTATAAGAGAGGACTGTCGAATTCCGCATGTGCCTCAGAATGAAGAGAGGTTTCTCGCGAAGCAACCAGTTTCGAAGGCGTCGAGAGTGCAGCCACATCACTCTCGGCGATGCTCACTTTCCCGAAGGGAATTTGCCTTTGACTTGCGTGGGGCACGTTGCGGTGTCGTGCACCGCGCTGTTGCACCACAAGCAGTATCGGTACTTAGTACGGATGCGGTACACGCCTTCCGAGAGATTGTAATGTGTCCAAGGCTCTTGAGCCGCTGGTCCGGCCCCGAGGGATGAATTGGTGTGTGTCTTCGGTTTGCCGCGTCCTCGCCCTCTGGCGGGTCGGCCACCATCCCCGGCGGCTGCCAATCTGTCCCCTTCATCAGAAGAGGCAGCCTCGTTTGAAGGGTCGGTCGTTGTAGTTGCTGCGACCACGGCCACTTTCGGTCGATGCTGATCTCTGCCTTGGCTCGCAGCAGACAAACGACCCAAATTCTTGGTTTCGGTGTTCGTCACGATGATCAACGAGGCTTTATCAAAAAGCTGCTCACTTGTGGTGAGCGTCTCCACAACTTGTGTCAAGGCATTCTGCAACGCCGGATGGCGACGAAGGTCGACGACAAGTTGGGCGTGGATGCCAAGCGTTGGTACTCGGTTATCCAGTCCGTGCCTGGCAGGTCGTTCTCATAGAACCGTTGAAGTTTCTTGGCTGCCTGAAGCTTGGGCGGCTCCACTTGGAACCGCTTATGCCATGTTGCCTTGAGATCAGCCCAGCTGATCTTCGTATGCAGCTCGGAGACTGCGACGTTGTGCCTGGACAACATGTTGTCTAGCCATGCCTGGCACGCGCCCCCTGAGCGGAAGTATAAGTATGCGTGCCGGTTCGGGTTGATGACGTGGTGAATGTCCAACTTCAACTCGAACTAGCGCCACCATGGGATCGGGTCTGTCTTCGTTGCATCGCAGAAGATAGGCAGGCCGTCAAACTTTGGGATGCTCTCGCGAGTAGTCACGGTCGGACTGGCTGTGGCGGCACAAATCTACTGGTCAATCCGCTGATTTGTCGCTAGAGCGCCGTCCTTGAGAGTCTGGACGTCGATTTCCAAGACGTTGACGCGGTCCGTCAAGTTGGAGGGTCCGGCGGGGGTGGCTGTTGTAGGCTGCTGTTCCAGCCGGCGTACCCGGTCACGCAGTTCGTCGATAAGTCGAGCCTGCTTCCGGACCAGGGTGTCCACACAAAGGATGTCCTCTTGCTGTGCTGCACAGGTGGCGACCAAATCGCTCACGTGTTCGATTGTGGTTGCAAGGCCACGCACAGCAAGGGGGGCACCCTCCTCTTCACCAGCCACTGCCCATTCGTCGGCGATCACCTCGATTTCCCCCTCGCATTCGAGGATTTTATCTCGGCGTAGTCGACGACGTTCGTCTGCGGCCTTCCTTGCTGCCTCAGCGTCCTCCTGTCGTTGCTGTTCAGTGAGGCGACGTTGTTCCTCTGCTTCCTAATCTTCCTTCTTACGTGCGGATGTTGCCGCAGTTGCCCGTTGCTTGAACTCTGCTACCATGTCCAGCATGCGGGTCTCATAGGCCTCAGTAGTCTCCCCTAGTTGCTGATCCATGCCGCTTGTCTTTGAGCGGGTGAGCACCATGCACTGACGTGACCCGCTGCTGCGGTGACTGGTTGCTGACGTGGCACTGCTGCCGTGTCCTGCTGACGTGGCCTGCTGACGTGGCAACTCACCAATGCCGCCGCAGGGGCTACCCGGAGGCAGATAGAGAAAACCAGAGGGGGCAACAACATAGGTGCGGAGGGGTGGGATAAATCGCCCAGACAAGGAGCGACTAATCAAAAAGAAGAAAAGTTTGAACTTTGCAAAAAAATTCGAGAAAAAAAAAAATACTCGTCTGCAAGTTCAGTAGGCCTCCCAACTTCCCTGAAGTGCGAAATTACCAATGAGAAAAAAATTCGAACTTTCAGACCACAAATGATTTTCCGATAAAAGAATTCCGAAAATAAAGTACAAAAAAAAATTCGGAATTACTTGGATAAGAGTACGTGCAGTTTGGATAATGATAACTGCAAGAGGGATTCCCGTACCGTTAAAAAAAAAAAAAAAGGATTTCGGAAAAAAATATTCCGGATTTCCAAATAACGGGAAATTGCAAAAGGAAATCAAAATTTTCGAAAAAAAGATATTCCAGATTTTCAACAACGAAATTTTGAATTTTCAGAAGAAAAACGAAATCGGAAATTTCAGATGTTGCGCTATTGCGATTTTCCACAACAGAAATAGCGAGAAAACAAAAAAAAATAAATCGATTTTCGGCAGTGAGGTCAAAATCGTGATTTTGGGGGCTAACTAGTGTGCTCTAATCAATCAATCAAGACTAATCGGCTACTAAGTCCCCGCACACGTGTCAGATCAGGTTGTCCTGATTCACGTGCGGTGCACCGATACCAACTGTTACATGCCCAGTTGGGCGATGCACATATATAACCAAGGATCCGCAATGTGATAAAAAGGACTGAATGGACAATGCAGTGCAAGTAGAATCTCAACAACCAGTGTGCATTCCGATACATACAAGGTATAGCGCAGTGGAAGACTTAGATACAAGTCCTGACCTGACCGGGACTGACCTCTCTCACGTAGTGCAAGACAGCACAGCAGAATGCTAGGAAACCAATGACAAGCCCAATCAATGTCGCATTACAGACCAAACATACATCATCCACATCACGAGGTGTGAAGGGGCCTGGCGCTACACAAAGGAAGAGTGTGCCAGGTCCAGATCATACACAGATGAAGAGGAGGGGATCAGACGAAGAGGAAGGGGGAGATGGGAATGTCGTCAACACCAAGTATTCGTTACAAGTCCCAAATAGTCCCTCGTCAAAATGTCTGAAGCCCAATGTCGAGTCTGGATCCAAGGTCGCCAAGCTCTCTCTCTCTCTCTCTCTCTCTCTCTCTCTCTCTCTCTCTCTCTCTCTCTCTCTCTCTCTCTCTCTCTCTNCTCTCTCTCTCTCTCTCTCTCTCTCTCTCTCTCTCTCTCTCTCTCTCTCTCTCTCTCTCTCTCTCTCTCTCTCTCTCTCTCTCTCTTAGGCTGTTGATGCAGTGAAGTCAGATAGCGAGAGGGTGAGAGGGAGATGGTGGACTGAGATGAGGAAGAAGAAGAACTCTCTCTCTTTCTCTCACGTGCTAGGTACTAACCCGTGAAGTTGGCGCTGTGCTGCAGGTACCTCGAAGACGAAGCTGGAGCTATGGCGCTGCAGGTAAGTATCCCTGGCCTCCGCCCAATCTCTCTCTCTCTCCAGTACTACTCTAGCTGCTACTAGCGCCCAGCGCTGAAGACTACTGCTAGCGCTACCACTACTACTGCTGCTGCTGAATCCTGAAGACTACCTCCTGCCTCCTGAACTGCACGTGAAGTGCCTGAGAAGTCCCTATGAACTACCTGCAGCCTGCAGGGCGGGCTAGTCTTACATAGTGCTGGCCCGTCCAAGAGGCTGCTCTTGCCAATGCCAAAACGTGCCAGACCGTGGGGTTGAAGTTCAAACAACGGTTGTCTTGAAAATAGGCCAAAAATGGCCTGAGCTAAAACCCTGGTCAGGTGCCTGAGTTTCAGGGCAGGTCGATCTTATGAGGGCCTGAAAATGGCCCTCAGTTTCAGGCTGAAACTAATTTAGGTTGACGACACAGGGCCTGTAGGCCCTTGTTTTCAGGCTTTCAGGCTGAAACGACACAGGGCCTGTAGGCCCTTGTTTTCAGGCTGAAACGACACAGGGCATGTAGGCCCTTGTTTTCAGGCTTTCGGGCTGAAAGCGACACGGACCTGAAAATGGCCCGTGCAGCCTGTTGCAGGCGCAGCATGTAACATCAGCACACAACAATCAACAATGTGTTAGCTGAACTTTTTTTTTTTTTTTTTAATTGGAAAAAATATCTTTATAAAAGTCGGGAACCGGTTCCGGCGTCCCTTACAAAATTAGGTGGGACCCTCAATGTGTTAGCTGAACTTCTTCTCGTTGTCCTCTGGCAGATGTCGGTATTGTAAAATAAGGATATAGAATATCCTTCCTTTCTAATACGAATATAAAAATAACAAATTATTTTTATATTCGTTTTTTTTTTTTTTTTTACAAGATGAGATATATTAATGAACATTTACATACACATACAATAATCAATAATGGAAGAAATGAATATAAAACAATATATCTTAATGTTGTATTGAATTTAGTATTTGATAGATGAGATTGCATAAATAGACTATACTTTTTTTAGAGAAACAAATATTTTGATACAAATCACTAACTCTGTTTTTAAATCCCTAAACAAGAGCATTATGTTAGATTGGAAGCATCTAAAGGAGAATTGGGTATCTTTTTAATTGGAGATGACAATATATTCCCATGGCGTTGGAAAATTCGTCCCCCAGGATTTATTAATTTACAAGTACTTCCTCCACTTGTTAATGGAATGAAATTAGTAGATCCGCTATTGTATTTTTATCATTTGTATTTATTTTGTATTCATGTAATATTAATAAGTATCTATAAGAATTATGTCTCGTAGAAAAATTCCCATAAAACGTTCTCCTAAGCCTGATTCCATTTACACAAGTCGTTTAGTCAACATGATGGTTAACCGGATCTTAAAAAATGGCAAAAAATCCTTCGCTTCTCGTATTTTATACGACGCAATGGTTTGGTAATGGTTGGGCTCATGCTATTCGCTGGTTGGTTCCATTATCATAAAGCTGCACCAAAATTTGCAGGGTTTTAAGACGTTGAATCTATGCTTAATCATCATTTGGCAGGACTGCTTGGATTAGGATCACTGGCTTGGGCAGGACATCAAATACATGTTTCTATGCCTATTAATCAATTGCTGGATGACGACTTTGCTAAGGTATTTGAACAATACACTACAGTAATTGAGAATTGATTTCGATTTCAATTAATTGTGGTTTCTAGTTCGTGAGTGGGCGAGGAGGGATTCGAACCCCCGACACTGTGGTTCGTAGCCACGTGCTCTAATCCACTGAGCTACAGGCCCCATGACAAGTTATGACGCGTGGCACTACAACATAATCCAGTGTTGCACCGCCCGTCAGACAGACAAGTGCAAGTAACTGCCGCTGGCTTTGAAGACATTGGTGAGTGGGCGAAAAACATGATTCTGCGGG